GCCCCCAAAGCCCTTCTTGTGAATGACGAGTTTGTAGACCTTTGTTGTTCTCATCTTGTACTGTTGTTTCCTTCAGTTGTTCCAAGCATGGGGGAGAGAAGTCATCATGCCTCCCTACCAATGAAACACAAAAAGGCAAAGATATCAGATTTTTCCTTGCAACTGCTCTTTGGTTTTAGGCCAGTGAATATACTGTTCAGATGAGAGGTAGCATCAACTCTCGGATGAAATCACTCCTCCAATTACAAGGAGGGTTGGAGACAAGAAAGAAAGAAAAGAAAACAACCAAAACCACAAAATCTGGGAACGAAGGGAAATTCGGGCCAGATTTAAGAAGATAACCCTAAAGGGAAGAGCACCCTAAAGGGAAAACTTGCAGTGAATTGGGCACTCACTACCTTGTCTCTATCCAAAACAATAACACCCAAATATTAAAGAGATCTTGAAAGAGGTTTACCGCACTCATTTTTAGATGAAGTAAGTGAGGGCCAGAGCAAGGGACTTGCCCAAGGTCATTCAGACACGGAGACACTCCCACCGTTCATCTTCCGCGGCCAATGTACTGGGCAAGGAGAGTATAAATAGAAGGAAGGCAGGAGTGTTTCTCCAAACGTCCATCTGTACAAACTCTCAGCGGCTCCTCCTCCCCAACCTTCACTTCACAGCAGCGGCCACTGGAAGCTCAGAGAGGGGTGGAGACTTGTCTAAGATCACACAGCGGGTTGCGGAGTGGTGTCTGGACTCGAACCTCGGCCACGGCCCATTCCCTCAGGCTCCACAAACCCGGGCCCGGCAAATAGCCCCACTCACCCGCAGCTCCGGAGTCGCTTCAGGCCGGGACTCCGAGGCCCGGATCCTCCCGAGGTCCCCCGCGACTCCTCGGGACACCGCGCCTACGCCCCCACAACCCTTGCGGCTTCGGTGCCAGACCTCGAGGAGCCTGCCGGCCCGCCCCAGCCACAGAGAGCTCACCTGAGAACCCGCGCAGCTCTGGTGGCTCCGCCCAGGAGCCCCGCCCCCTTCCCGCCCACCCGCCTCGGGCCGCTCTGGCCGGGCCTCCTCCTCATCTCGGTGTCCGCGCCACTTCCCCATCCGGGGCTCGCGCCAGGGGCGGGGCGTCGCTTGCGGCGTCTAACTCCCTCTACCTCCTGCGTTTCCCGCTCGGTGGCCCGAAATCAGCCAACCTTAGAGAGAAAATCCTTTTAGACATTATGACTGACATAAATCCATGACAGGGAAAAACTTTTCCTCCCAGACATTATGACATAGATCCATGACAGTAACTTCGTTTCTGATTCAGTCGTTCAGTAGGGCAAACTTAGGCGAGTCTCCCTGGATCTATTAACAGTGTTAAAGGACACTTGCTTGGCTTCCCCGGGCTAGTGAGAAGTACAAAATAGTTTCCTGGAGATCTTTTGTAAAATGCAAAAGCTGAGCACTCGCGACCTAATGCGATGGACCCTCCTGGAAAGTATTCACTTTGTGTGCTCTTTTCAAATACCTCCAAACCCTAAATGACGATCTCAGGCTCTCTGGTTGTTAATAGCCACCATAGCTTTCACAGACATCCTTACGAAATGGTCACATCCCTATTGGGTGGCTGATATTCTCAAAGACGGGTAAACAGGCAGGGGACACGAAACTCCTCGGAATGAAGCTCCTGACCCAATCAAGTCCAACTTGGCTCTGGAGGCTGAGCGTTTAACCAGCATCCTTGTCACACCCAAGAGTTCAGCCTGAGCCCCTGTCAAGACATCTTTCTGATCTCGAGGAGAAAATCAGAACTGTGTGGGCTGCGCCTCAAACTCTCCAAGGGCTCCCAACAAGTTGCCAATTTCATCTACTTCACTTACGGTTTTTGGAAATTTTCTGAATGTTTAAAGAAAAAAGCATCACATACCACAAAGGAGACGGGAGCGGGGAGAGGAGGCTCTGGCAAGACAAGAGGTTCCCTAAACATCCTTATTTTACTTTAGGATTCAGAAGTTGAAGGACTATAAAATAGTAATTTTTTATATTAAATTAAAACGTGAAATCAAGTATACTGCAACAGTTGCAAAACAACCTTTAAGAGATAAAATGCTAAATATAAATAACATTTTAATGTTGCTGATTCAGGGGACCCGCCCAGATCCCCCAGACTGTTTTATCTGCAGCAATGGCTGGTGAGTTCTTCCATCCCAGAGGGACTAATGAGATTCTCTCTCCCTGCCTTCAAGGAAATGTTATTTCCATCTTCTGAGAGATATCCATGATTGGTGTTTTATCTTAGAAATGCAAATATTTCACTTTTTAATTTGGAAAAAGATTGTAAAAATCCTTGACACGTTTTGACCTTTTTAAAAACTGGGGCACCTGGGTGGCTCAGTGTGTTAAGCGGCTGACTTTGGCTCCGGTCATGATCTCGCAGTTCCTGAGTTTGAGCTGGCATTGGGCTCTATGTTAGCTGTGAGACTGAAGCCTGCTTCAGATTCTGTGCCCCCCTCTCTCTGCCCCTACCCTCCTGGCACTCTCTGTCTCTCTTTCAAAATAAATAAACATTAAAAAATTAAAAATACTAAAAAAATAAAAACTGTCAAAGTCTGGTCAAGGTTAGGGAAGGCTGGAGCAATAGCTCCTGGACTAGGGATCTAGGCAGGAGATCCTTGGTTCTAAGATCACTGTGCTACAACCAGCTACACAATAACCTGTTTTTGGCAGTGTGGCTTTGCACCAGATCCTTTTCTTTTCTCAATTTTCTCCCTTGTCGGATGGGAATAAAAAGTGCATGTATTTCCTTGTTCACAAGGTGTTTGAGGGCCAAATGAAATGAGGGACATGTTACATTAGGCCTTTGAAATTAAAAGAATTTAAAATGCTATATATAAACGTAGAGTATTATATTTAAAAAATTTTGGGGGGGTTGCTTGGGGGGTGAGAGACAGAGCACTAGTAGGGGAGGGGCAGAGAGGGAAGAGGACTCAGAATTCCCAAGCAGGCTCCAGGCTCTGAACTGTCAGCACAGAGCCGAATGCAGGGCTTGGAGCGATCACCACCTGAGCTGCAGTCAGACACCTAACCGACTGAGCTACTCAAGCATCCCAAGTGTAGAGTATTACTGACTAACCAAAAGCATGGAATTCATTAGGAAACTGGCTTTCCTTGACTTTTAGAGGGTTGCATGATACATATGATGCTTCTTTTGAACCTCTTTGTGCCTAATACTGAGCTAGGAGTAGGGTTAGGAGTAGGATGAGGTGGGTAAGGCTAGTGAGACACTTCCCTTAGGGCACAAGAAGTTAAGGAAGTGTCAAAAAAAAAAACAGGGAGCAAAATAAATAAAATGTACTATAATATTTTAAATAAATAATACAAAAATCTGCTATTAACAAAATATCACATTTTAAAATGTGCTCAAAAATGGTGCTATGCAGTCATGTTACAGCCTGAGGCAAAAAGACAAAATAGTAATACTGGGTTTCTCAGATCCTCTTCTATAGGCAGGTAGTTGCCTGAGAAAGTACTGGAGGATGTAGATACTGTAAATTTAGAAATGTCCTTAAGAGCGGTGCCTGGGTGGCTCAGTCAGTTAAGCGTCTGACTTTGGCTCAGGTCATGATCCAGCCCCGCGTCAGGCTCTGTGCTGAGCTAACTCAGAGCCTGGAGCCTGCTTCTGATTCTGTGTCTCCCTCGCTCTCTGACCCTTCCCTGCTTATGCTGTCTGTCTCTCTCTCAAAAAAATAACTAAATAAAACATTAAAAAGAAAGAAACATCTTAAACAGAATGTCTCATTAAATCATCCCAATAGCATCTGTAGTAGCCTATGTGTTAATTGTACACATATATGGGATGATATATGGATTCACAGGCTGTAAAACAATAGGGTTGGTATTTGGGTTTATATATCTCCAGCCCTAACCAAGGGTGGGAAAACCACTATCTTGGCAAAAATGTTGACTAGCTCAAAAGATACCCTAATCAAAGAAGAGAGAATTAAAATCTCTCTCAAACCTCCAAACCTCTAGCTCTCTACTCAGCCCAGTTGATAAAGCCCCAAAACAACATATCTCTATGTTTAACACAAGGCTGTGTGAAACAAAACAAGTTGATCCCACTCTCTGAAACTTCCTTTTTTAAGTTTATTTACTTATTTTTGAGAGAGGGAGTGTGTGTGTGCACCCACATTAACACTGGAGGGGAGATAAAGGGAGAGAAAATCCCATGCAGGCTCCTTGCTCTAGTAGCAGAGAGAAGTGCCAGGGAGGGGTGTGAAGCTCCATCTGACAAACCAGGAGATCCTGACCTGAGTTGAAATCAAGAGTCACTTAACTGACTGAGCCACCCAGGCACCCCAATTCTCTGAACCTCCTTAATTCTTTTAATAAACCTTCTTTTCCTTCCTTCAAATGTTTGTTGAATGTCTGCTTGTGCCAGAAACGGTGCTAGGTACTGACCACAGAATGATGAACAAGCCTGGGAAGGGACAGATGATGAAATGAATCAATAAATGGATGCAACGTGGCAAATCAGACAGTGTTAAAGCCTTGAAGAAGTTAAAACAAGATACCATACAGGACTGGAGGCAGAAGTGCCATTTAGGCTTACTGGTCAGTGTGATTCAAAGGAGCAGGGGAGTGACATGACCTAAAACACTAATTCAAGTTATCAAAGGATCTCCTGGGCTTCCAGAGATGGGCACCTAGAATTGCAGCCAATCAGGCCAGGAAAATACCGAAGAGGGTAGTAGCAGTGGAGACAATGGGCTCTGGGGATCAGTAGGAGCCGGGCAAAAAGGATCTTTCCCCTTTAAGAATCGCGGCCGTATGGGCGGGGCAAAGGGCGGCTGGGGCCCGGCCGGGGCCGGAGGCCTGACGCGAGAAGAGCCGCCCCTAGGATTGCGCGCGCGCCGTGCGGGGGCGGGACTTGGATGAGCCCGCATGGCTGGCTCGGGCCCCGGATGAGGAAGTGCGGGGTGGGAGGGGGCGAGGAGGAAGAAGACCATAGAGACGAAAAGGCGGCGGCGGCTGGAGCGGCCCCGGCCTCTTTCGGCTCGGTAGGCTCAGGTAGCTTTGGCGGCGACCGGGCTGCAGCTGCAAAGGCCGGGCTGGCGGGGCGAGAGCGGGCCGCGGAGCAGGCCTCAGGGTAAGAGGCTGGGGGCGGAAAGGCTTACGGGCGTAGCCGCCCCGCCCCACACCACCCTGAGGGGCCCCTCCGCCGGGTGTTGCAGGCTGATGGGGAGCCCGGGCTCCTCTCCCTCTTGGGGCGCTGAAGGGAACTGAGGCTGCGCTGCGGGCGGCGGAACGAGCCGGGGAGAGGGAGGAGACCAGGCCCCGCGTCGCGAGGGGGAAACGGCTTCTCCGAGTCATGGCTCCGACGGGGGAGAGATACTCCTCTTCAACCTCGATACGGCGGGGGACCCCCAACTTCTCGAGGAGGGCGACGCCCCTAGTCGTGGGCGTACGCTCTTACCCAGCTCGTGTGCGTTTGTCAGCGGCGCGAGACCCGCTCCCGGGGTTCAAGAGCGCGATTCTAAACTTATTTTTATGAGGAAGGGTAGTATGTAACCCCGAACAAGACCTTTCCCCCGATTTGGTCAGCGCTCCCCAGGTGAAGAGGGAGACTCAAGTTGCCTAAAAGTGGTGGGGGGGGGGGTCTTCTTTCCTTGTAAAAGAGAGACTTACCTTTTATTTTTCACCTCTACTCCTAGATATAAAGATGAAGACCCTGAGTTTACTTTATGGTATTAGAAATTAGTCTTTCCCCTTTCCCCCAGTAATGTCCACAAGACTCTCCCTCAAGTCTCTTGGTGTGCAATGGCTTTCCCTTGCACAGTTAAGAGCATGGCGTCTGGAATGTGGTGGTAGTTAGTCTGTCCCCATCTTTGTGACCTTGGCTAATTGTTTAACCTTTCGTAGTCTCAGTTAGCCTCATTCAAATTTGGGTCCTCTTTGTAGAGCCTTGTCTTGAGGGCTAAGGGAGAATTTGTGTGTTTAGTACATAGTAAGCTTTTGGTAAATTGTTGCTATTACTCTTACTACAGAAAACTAATATCTTCTATAGAGACTCAGATATTTCCATGTATGCCTCCTACCATCTCCATCCTGGAGTGGAGAAAGAGGCATTTCTCCCTTTAAATCCTTCCATGTCCCCCAAAGTAACAAAGAGGGTCTCAGAATAATCAGGAGAAAAGACTTTGTTTTTGGAAACAGGTCTGTACTCCAAGAGGGAGAGAGAACTGATACCAAAAGCCAGCCTTCCTTTTGTCCACAGAAGCTATCACTTCTTCCTGACTGGTTAGCAAAGTCATCTCCCACTCCCCCTACCTGCTGTAGTGATTAAAAAGCTTACTGCTATCTGTACACCTCCCCCTCCTCAAAGAGGGAGAGTCCAACTTCTTTTCTCTTGCTCTCCCAAGAAAAATAAGACTCTTTGAGAGGAGAACTCTTTCCTGCAGTGTATTTAGAGTGGCACAGATGGTTTCCTTCTCCTCTTCCTCTGAAAAATAAATGAAATTTTTTTATGCAGGAAGTCTTTGTCAGAAATCAGGAGCATTTTCCCTCTTTACTCCCCCATGGAGGGATCCTTTTTCTGCATGCTGATAAAGGAAGGAAAAAGGAAACAGTGCTTGATGCTTTTGAGATTTCCTGCACACTCCATGTTGTAGAGCTCGGCCCTGTTAGTATATAGATTTCCCTACCCCACTTTCTGTTTGTCTAGAGATCTCGTTAAAAGATTCTTCTTTCTCTGTCCCTCAAGAAGAGGCCCCTTCTCCGAATGCCCTCATGGAGGCATTGGCTACAGTGTCCGAATCTTGGAAAAGAAATCCCCTTTCTCAAGGTGAAAGGAGTGTTGTGAACTTCTGAGGGACTGATCGATATTGTGAGTATTGTCCCTTGACACGAGTGTGGCAGTGCCCAGTGTTACTGTTCTTCGTTTTGAGCAGCCCTTTTACATTGGAATTAAAGGGAGGGGAGACCTTCAGATCTGGGATTGTTGGGCACATGGTCTTCTGTTCGGCTGTTTTCTTTGTTTGATTCTTTTTTTTTTTTTTTTTACATTTTACTTATTACTGTAAACTTTGTGCTCCCAAAACTTTTGTATTAGGGAATGTTTGAACTACTAAAGAGGAAGGACCACTTTGTCAGGTGTTAGAATACAAAATGTATTCTAATCAGATTGAGAGCTGCAGGGCTAATCTTTTTCATTGGTAGTTTATTTTCTTTTTTTTCATGTTTTTGTTATGTATTAACAGTGCCGCTGCCACTAAAGAAGAAAAAGTGTTCCATCTTTATTTGCGTGTAAAGTGTTTTTAAATTACCTCTTATACCCTGAGTACATGCAGCGGGGCTTAGTCAGAAATCTACCACCATTGTTGGTATCTATAGATCGGTGAAATAGAAAAGTTGTCATTTAGATTCATGGGGTTTTTATGGGCGGGCAAGACCGTTTGAGGTTATTTTGTTTAACTTGTTCCGTTTTACATGTGAAAAACAAGCCCTGGAGAGTTAAGTGATACATTCACAGTCGTGCAGCCAGCAGGATAGAGACCCAGGTCTCCCAATTTGGAGACCAGCAACCAGGCTGCTTCCAGCCTTTGCTATTATATTTGACATAGAAAGGTTTTGAGATGATTGTTCTCAATTTAAAAACAAAAGAATTTCTTCTTTTAGTAGGATAACTTTACTGCATACCCCTTATAATTATTGGTCTTTTTTCAAGGATAAATCTATTTTTTTAAACAATCTAATTCTCATTTGTGTCACAGTAAAGATGACAAGCCAGTAGCAGCTGGCAAGCGTTGTTTGTGAATCTGTGGTTTGTTTTTTGTTTATACCTCAAACTGGATAATTATCTAATGTCCTCACCCAGTAGATTGATTATAAATCATTAGTAAGAATTAAGCTATAAATCCCTGCCTTCATTTTACAAGCCTGTGTTAGCTCAGTGTTTCCTTACTTCAAGTATACTTAACACTTTAACATAAAAACTTTTATGGTTGAGGCAGAGAGCTGAGGTTTGGAAAGATAAAGGGATAATACATTTACAGTTATTTTTTATTCCTATTTGGATCTTGGGAAATAATGTTTAAAATTTTAAAAAAATTTTAATGTTTGTTTTTATTTATTTAAAAAAATTTTTTTTGAGAGAAAGTACAAGCAGGGGAGGGGCAGAGAGAGAAGGTGACAAAGGATTTGAAGCAGGCTCCAGGCTGTCACCACGGAGTCCCCCTGAGGGCTCAAACCAGGAATGGTGAGCTCATGACCTGGGCCGAAGTCAGACGCTTAACCAACTGAGCCACCTAGGTACCCCTAAATTTTTTTTTTTTAAATTTACTGTAGAAAAAAAAAATAGCAACATTTAAGTCAGTTGTGATCTCCTCACCCAGGGTGATACTGTTAACATTTGGATTATATATATTCTTTCAGTTTTCCTATGTGCATATTTTATCAAAATAAGAGAGCTCTAATGTTTAGTTTGATAAACTATCCTAGGCAACTTTCTGTGTAAGTTCATTTTCTACACCATTTATTTTTAATTATTCCAGTGTATTTAGAAATTTAGTTTTAAAGAACTTGAATGCCTTCTTAAAATACGTTCTTCTGTTTCTGCAGGCTTGTGACCTTACCAGTATTTTGTTAAATGGCTAGAATGAGAGTTTGGTGATGCAAGCTAGTGAGCTGAGAATAATTTTAATCTGCTACTCTAGGCTTGCATCTAAATATTACTTCAACACTGAGAGTTCCAGCTGAGGTACTCACCTCTTCTGGGTGTCTCAACTACAGATACTGCTTATAAACTCAAGGACCCAGGATAGGCCTAGGAGAAAAGGAGAGAAAGTCTGTAAATGCCTGTAAAACAGCAGTGAATGTGCTTAGTTGTTTTACAGGTTGAAAAGGTTTAGAATAATATCTCTACCAAACAGAAGTTTCAAGTGATGATGGCATTGTGGTGGTTGGTTTTTGTAAATTGGAAGGTTTTTTTGGGGGGTGTGGGGGAGAACCAAAGCTTTAAAGTTCTCTTTTGGCCAATGCCAGTTTAGAGCATAAATGCATGCATAGGAAGCATAACAGCATTGTTTTCCTTGAAGACTATTTTGGAGCATTCTATGTGATTATTAATATTGTCTCTTCATGATACACTATTTATTAGTAAGCGTGTATTTGTGCATCATCCTGTGTTTGGAACAAATCTTGAATTAGGACCATGGGGATGGAAAGGAGTGGTATTTGTCAGACACTGTAAGAGTGGAGTCTGTGGTCTCCAAGTGCTAATTGAACAACAAATGGAAGATCAGATTTAGTTGTGTCTCGTGGTTCAAGTCTGAGCTCTAGGGTAGTGGGGGTGTTACTCCTGAGAGGCAACGGTGTAAAAAAAATAAGCATGTAAGTTTACTGAGACCATCTTACTCATCTTTGTTTCCTCTAGCTGATTGTGTATAGTAAGACTCAGTTATTCATTGGGTTGAATGGGTTCTATCTTGGACATGTTAAGTTTGGGAGGGGTGCCATCTTTTTTTTTTTTTTTTTTTTTTTAATGTATATTTTTGAGAGAGAGACACACACAGTGTGAGCAGTTTGGGGAGGCGCAGAAAGAAAGGAAGACATAATTCGAAGTGGGCTCCAGGCATTGTACTGATAGAACAGAGCTCAACACAGGGCTCAGACTTACAAACTGAAATCATGACCTGAACTGAAGTTGGATGCTTAACCCACTAAGCCACCTAGGCACCCCTAGAGGGGTGCTGTCCTTATAAATAAAACATAGGTTAGGAATTTGAGAAATGATGGGGTAGAGGACAGGTGTTTTTATTTTTTTGTTTTAAATTAGCTTTCAGATGTAATTTGCATATCATACAATTCACCAACTTAAATTGTACAATTTAGTGGTGTTTGGCATAGTCACAAAGGTGTGTAACCACCACTACAGTCAATTTCAGAACATTTTTATTGCCCCTGAAAGAAATTCTATTAACAATTACTCCCAGTTTTTTCAACTCTCACTAAGCAATTTACTTTGCCTACTCTGGACATTTTGTATATATGGAATCTTGTATGGTCCTTTGTAACTGGCTTTTACTTGTAATGTTTTCAAAGTTCATCCATGTTGACTCACAAGTCAGAACTTCATTTCTTTTTACAGCTGAGTAATATCCATTTCTACAGATACACCACATTTCGTTTATCCATTCATTAGTTGATGGACGTGAAAGCTGTTTCTACTTTTTGACTGTTGTGAATAGTGCTGCTATGAACATTTCTGTGCTAGTTTTTGTGTGGACTTTTTTTTGCATGTATACCTAGAAGTGGAATTGTTGGGTCATGTGGTCACCTGTACTTAAAGTGATAGTTTTAAGTCATTGACATAGCAGAAAGGCTGCAAGAAAAGATGAGGTCATCAAAAAAGTGAATCCTGGAATGGGAGGTGTGTCAAGGATTAAACTTCTGAGAACACTCACACCTCAGTGGCGGGTAAGGGAAGGGAGCTCTTGAGCACGTGGTGGCAGAGAGACTTATGGAGTCAGTCTCCACCAACAAACCTGCTCTTTTACAATATCCTTTCCTGCAGTTATTCTTCTGGTCTGTATGTGTTGTGGCAATCAAAAACTGGAGTGGTGGTTGTTGGGAAAGGGAAATTGAGCCAAATGAAAATTGAGCACCTCCTCTCTTTTTTTTAACATCAAATAGCAATTCTGCTTTAGCTGTTGACCCCTAATGCACACACCAAAATCTAAAGTGCCCCTAGAAATATCCAGGAGCTAGAGGAGAAAGGGGAAGATTGTAGCCCCCAAAATTATTTGTTTTTGTCAGATTTATGAAAGAGTCTCATTTGATTCTCACCATACTCTGGACACAACAGTTTATCTCTCTTTGCTGCTTTTTTGGATTCAAGTTTTTTCATCAGCCTTCCTGTGTTATCTAAACTTAGTAGACCAGCAGTCTGATTTCCTATAATTTCTAGTATATAAGTTAGTAGTATAGTGTTGTCTACTTTTACTTTTGGAGAGAATTCCTTCAAAATGTTAAGGACACCCAGTGGATGAAAGCATAGGAATGTGAGTAAGTAAACGATTGGCCACAGGTTGGAAAACCAGGAAAGACAGAATGGTCCAAAATGAAGGGACCTATCATCTGCCCTACCTGAGCCCCCAGCTTCAGTCTTGATAGCGCGGGTCAGAGGGTGGGAGGAGGAAAGATTGTATATCCAGGAATATTCAAGGACCAGGTAGGTGCTTCTGGGCCTGGAGGGACAACAGGTCCCTTTTGTGTAAGCGACATGTTTAGGCTCTCCCAGAAAAACAGGACAGGAGTTAGAGACAGGGTAAGAGGAAACTGAGTTGTAAAGATTTACATGGTATATAGGAGAATCCCTCCTCAGAAATCTAAATGTGGTCAGTGGAGAAAAGGTGAGACAATTCAGTATTCAAAACTGTTTGGTAGCCAACAGTGGATTTTGCTTGCATGTAATATGTTTATTTTGGGAAAAGATGGATGGTAGAAAGTGGTAGGAGTAGAAATCTGCTGGCTTTCTGAAACATCATTTCCTATGTGCCTTTTGGCCAAAGAGATTTGCCACCAATACCTCAGATGAATCCTTGTTAGGAACTCTTGCCAGAAATTTCTCTCCTTTTCTCTCCTTTTGTTAACATTAGAAATGAAAGCATGGAAAAAAAAATGAAAGCATGTAGTATCTTACTTGGTTAAACCAGTTTCCACCTCGTTTGGGTCAAAGTGGGTCTTGTTGTGGAAACTGCACACATTTGGTAACCTAAATTGAAAAGTTACCAGCTAGGAAACCATGGTTCTAAGTGTACCATTCCTTAGCTCTGCATGCGTGTGTGTGTTGACAACCTTAATAATGTAGGTTTATGAACTACACAAATACACATATTTTAGCAAATATCCCATGTTTCCACTACCCAGTGCAAGCAGTGAAACATCCCCCAAACCATGGAAGTATCTTGAGTATCTCCCCACCCCCTTTCCTCAGGTAATCCTATAATATTTCAGGCAGGTCACTTTTACCTCTTAAGTATGATGTTAGGCTCTGTAACGGGATGGTGATAGCTGCTCAACTTTGCTCGCAGGGTTGGGAAAATCTAAATGGTATTTGGGAAGGCACATAGAAAATCTCAAGATGCTGAATAAAAGTCACAGAGGATTCTTCTAAAAAACTGGTTCAGTGGTGTCTTGTGCCAGCTTGGATAGATCAGCTCAAGTTTGGTAAGCAGTAAAGGATTGGAATTCTGCTGTCTTTCATAGAGAATTCTTTTGAGGAAAAGTCAGTTTAAAAAAATTCCTCAGAATCTCTCAGTATATGTTCATTCAGCAAATATTTACTGAGTACCTTATATGCGCTAGGCACCTCTTCTAGGCAGTGGGGATATAGCAATGAACAAAGCAGGCAAGGTTCACGCCCTGAAAACAAGTAGAAAATCATCTTTATCTTCTTTACCTGAGGTCTGTCCATGGACGCTTAGACATGTCTCCTTCTCATCTACATTTGCTGGCCCTCCAGATTTAAATTGAGAATTGTTTATAAGGCAGTATTTGAATTGAGATTAGGCAGATGTCTATTAAAGATTTAAGGCATTTATTTTTCCACTAATTCACAGTCTTTGAGGAAGATGTTTTGGTGTCAGATGTTGCCAGCATTTGAGGTAGAATTTTTTTGTCCTTATTTTAGCCAGTTTTAGCTGAAACAGCTTTCTTCTACCCTACAAGGTTTTAAACTTTTACCCCTTCCTTTGATTTGTGTCAGGGTGAACCGTTTGATGTAAAAGACTTGACTCCATAATCTTCCATCTGCCCTAATGCTGTCATCCGGAGTAGAGACTCAGCCAGTTCCACTTGATTCCTCCATGTCTGCCGTGGTACAGGAATTATACTCTGAACTCCCAGTGAGTGTCTCCAAAGAGCTTCATGCTGACCCTGAGCCAAGTGTGATTCCAGATGTAAAACCCGGAGCCTCAAGCTCTCTTATAAGTCAGAGTAGGGCAGTGCCCTTGGAGCAGCAGAGGACTTGTGCGGAAGGTTGTTGTGAAGAAACTTCTGGCACCTTGGATCATGGGGGTGAGCCTGGGCAGTGTGGGTTGGTGGACACCACAGCAGGAGGTTCTGTGGCTTCTGGGGTCTTGGATAGGGAAGAGAAAACCAAGAGCATGGAGCTAAAGGTCTTCAAAGATGAAGGGGACCAGGCGGAAATTGTAAGAGACCCCTGTGAGGGAGCAAAGGAAGACCCACATCAACATTCCACAGCTGCTGAAGAAAAGATCAGCCCAAGTCAGGTAAGACATGAGATCTCAATTCAGAGGAGTTGAGTGTGAATGACAGCTTTCCAGAGTAACACTTCAGATAATAAACTATAGATGCGGACAGGTAGCTTATGGTTTGTTCTGGAAACATTTCCAAAATGTTGATTTTCATGTTAACTTTCTTTTGATGATTTTTTTAAGACATTTGTGTCACATCAGACACTTGAAGAGAGGAGAAAGTGCTTACCTAATGAAAAAGTATCACTTGTCTGAAGCAGCTATCTTATGTGGAATGTTGAGTCTCTGTGATAGTCATGTGATATTTCTGCATTTGATTTTAAGAAATGATGGATACTCAGTCCTTAAGTTTTGGTAGTATCACGAATAGGGTGGAGTGACATGACATAGAGATACCTCTGAGGGAGTCTGCTTCATAGGATGGATACCCTAGAGGAATCTCCATTTTTCAGGAGCTGCTCCTTAGCTTTGCAGGTCTAGGAACTTGACTTTTGTTTTTTGGTGTATTAGAGGTGATGGTCGCCGAAGGACTGACCCATGTTAATCCACTTCATGAGAAACTAAAATATAAATCACAAAGTCAGTTCTTTAATTCACAGTGAAAAGGTGAATCATTTCTTGGTAGGAACTGTCACACTGGCTGATCAGTATGTCTTCTCCATATAGGTAAGATCAAATAGCTCTCTGTAAGTGTGAAATTAGAGTAATAGGGGTTAGGTAGGTAAGACTAATGACTAGCAAGCTATGATAGCCTGAGGAACCCAGGTTCCTAAAAGACTATACCTTCCAAGTACACTAGAAAATTTACTTTCTCCTCTGGATGGTGTCTTAGACCAGGGTTCAGCAAACTTTTTTTCCTGTACAAGGCCATATAGTAAATATTTTAGACTTTGCAAGGCATAAGGTCTCTGTCAAAACTACTCAACTCTGCCCTTGTGTCATGAAAGCAGACGTAGACAATACAAAAATGAGAGTGTAGCTGTATTTCAGTAAACCTTTTTTATGAGCGCAGGTGCTGGCCCATGGGCTATAGTTTGCCAGCCCCTGTTGTAGACCCACAGATAAATTCATATTCTTTGGGCTTTCTGTGTTAGGCTCCATTTCTCACCTTTTAAATATGTCATTTCTTTACACAGGTTACAGGGCAATTGATTGTTGTTAGTAGGCTTCATATATTGACCATAGTTAGGAATAGATTAATGTTTTCAGTTAGCATTAATTAAGTAATGTCAGATTTTATGCTGTGATGACCTAACATTAAAAATAGAAGTGAAAAAAAAAAATAAAAATAGAAGTGAGGTAACAGATTCAGGATCTAAAAGTTTCTTGATCTGGTGGGCTCAGTCTAATAAGGTAAACATTTTTTGTAGTTTATCTAAAATTTCATCTAATATCTGGTATAAAATAAAAATAGGTACACATATATGCCTTCCAATCTAAGAACTAGAAGGTTGCTGTCCTTCCTCCCTCCCAACTCCACCAGAAATAAATACTGTTTTGAATTATATAAACCAAAATGAAATTTAATAGATATAAGATTTTCTACTTTGTTCCAAAAAGTGAGCGTCACAAGTGGGGAAGGGAAAAAAAAAAGCAGAAGTATATTTAGAGACACAAAGCTAGTTCATTAGTATTGACTTTGTGGGATGGCCATCCAGAAAAGCCAGTTTCCTCTTAATTTAGCACATTAACAGAAATGTGTTGTCTACACTGTGTGCTAGTTAGCCTGTAGCTAGAGTATCATATTCACAGTCCCCTCTTCCCCCAGCACTCAAATGAGCTCAGGATGCCTCTGGGATTAGGGAGGGCAGAGGGAAAGGGAGGAATGTATCAGTGTTGGCTTCACTGGCCAGAGTGGGGTCCTAGCTCCTCATCCCAATGCTGAGCCTGGTGTCAGTGTCTCATGTATAGGATGAGTATAGAAACCAAGAATTCATTCATGATAAAGAATTCACACTAACGAGAAAACCTGAAAATACACCATTGGAAGCCAGTTGCTTAGGTATGTCCTATCAAAGAAGAATCAAGAGAAGCCTTCAAGGATTTGGAGAACTGTTGGGGTGCCTGGGTGTCTCAGCTAGTTAGGCTTCCGACTTCGGCTCAGGTCATGATCTCACGGTTTGTGGGTTTAAGCCTCGTGTTGTGCTCTGTGCTGACAGCTTAGAGCTTGGAGCCTGCTTCAGATTCTCTCTCTGTCTCTCTCTGCTCATGCTCTCTCTCTTTCAAAAATAAACTTAAAAAAAATGTTTTTTAAAGAAAATCTGAATGAATGCTGTGGACCTCTTAGAAAAGCAGACTGCTATTTGAAAAGATTTGCAGAGACCAGACATCGTTGGACCTCAAGAATTCTTGTTAGATTGCCAAAACACCACAGACAGAACACAACTGGTGAATTGGAAGAACATATTTGCAACATATATCACAGATAAAGGACTTAACTAATATATAAAGAACTCCTTTTTCTTTTAAGTTCATTCATTTATTTTGAGAGAGAATGCAAATGGGGAAGGGGGAGGAGTGGGGGTGAGGAGAGATTCCCAAGCAGGCTCTGCACCACCAACACAGAGCCCAATGTGGGGCTCAAACCCACAAACCGGGAGATCATGACCTGAGCTGAAGTCAGATGCTTACCCAACTAAGCCACCCAGGCACTCCAAGATTTTATTTGTAATTAATCTCAACACCCATATTAGTTCAAACTTAAAACCCTGAGACCAAAAGTCACATACTCTACTGACTAAGCCTCTGGATGCCCCACTAATGTATAAAGAACTTGTAGATTGAAGAATGGAAAACTCAATAGAAAATGAAGGAAAGACTTGAATAGATGATTCATTGTGTGTATGTTGCATGCATGTGTGTGTTCTGAAACACATGAAGAGATGGTTAGTCTCACTCATAATTAAAGATGCAAATTTAAACCATCAAAATACCACTTTTTACCTATCAGACTAGAGAATATGGAAAATTATGGAAACATACCTGGTTGGCAAGGTTGTGAGGGAAAAGGTGTTCTCACATATTGCTGGTGGGAATGCATACTCATTACAGCCTTTCGGAAGAGGAATTTGGCTGCACCTAACCGGAATGCATATGCTCTGACCTGTTGACCCAGCACTCTTATTTCTAGGAATCTACTACAAATATACACCTCCAAAACTGTGGAAATATATATGCCAAAAGTTATTTTTTACAGTATTGTTTATCACTACAAAATGTTTGAAGCAACCTGAATGTCCACATAGAGGAGAGAGGTTGAATAAACTATAGCATGTGTATTTTATGTCCGTACGTGCAGTACATGCACATGTGATAAGGAGTTGAGGAAAATCTCCATGTACTGATATGGAGTGCTTTCCAGATGTTAGAGCTCCCCAAGACCACCTCTAGGTTTGGTGATTCCCTGGAACTTGCAGGACTTAGCACATGGTCATATTTTGTAGCTAAGATTAATTGCAGCAAAAGGATATAAAACAATCAGCAAAGGGGAAGCATGGTGCCAAGTCCAGAAGATACCAGATGCTAGTTTCCAAGAATCCTCTCCTGGTGTAGTCACATACACATAGTCTCCTCCAGGAACAAATTGTGACAACACATGTGAAATGTGGGTTACCATGGAAGCGTGTTAGAGACCGGAGTTTGAACTGGAGGCTGGTCACATGGGCATCCTCTCCCTGGCATATACCAAAATTCCAGACTTAAAGCAGGTGTTTCAACATAAACCCCATTGTTCTATGGGTGCTCCAAACCGTTCTTATCATTAGGGAATGTTGGAAACTCCCAAAATCTAAGTTCCCAGATGAGCCAAGGCCACCCTTGCAAGCAGGACTTTCTAAGGATAACAGGCCTGCTCTGTTAACTCTTTTCTGCAAACTAGGATGTACTGTTAGGTTAAAAAAAAAAAAAGCAGAGGGCAAGTAAATATCTATTGTACCCTCCCTGTCATTCAAGGAAGAAGGTGAGATAAGTATACTGCTCATTTGTATAAAACACACAGGGACACACAGGAAGACAACCAGAAACGAATGGGTTTGGTTACCTATAGGAAGCTATTGGGAGCAGGGGAGAGAGAGTGGGAATGAGGTAGAAGGAATAGGAGGAAGTAAACTTCTCTGAGTCCATCTTTTTGTAGAGTTCTGAGGCCATACTTGAAAAATAACTACTTAGAGAGCCAAGATGTGAGGTGAGCCCAAAATTTAATAAAAATCCTGACAAATGACTCTTAGCTGTATTACAAATGAATAATAAAACCACACTGAGGGAGGAGGGGGATGAAGAAATAAAGTAACCCAAGTAGCTTTGGGAAATAGTATTTTGACTATACTTTCTTTTCTTTTTTTTTTTTAAATGTTTTATTTATTTCTAGGAGAGAGAGAGAGAGACAGACAGTGTGAGCAGGGGAGGGTCAGAGAGAGAGGGTGTCACAGACTGAAACAGGCTCCAGGCTCTGAGCTGGCAGTCAGCACAGAGCCCGACGCGGAGCTCAAACCCATGAACCGTGAGATAATGACCTAAGTGAAAGTTGGACGCTTAACCAACTAAGCCACCCAGGCACCCCTTACTATACCTTTAACTATACCCTGACTAAACATTATAGTAAAATTGTTTTTCACAGGTGTATGGCCTAGCAATTCCTAACTGCTGCATGTGTATTTTAGGATTGAGTAATGGGTAAATATTGTGGATGAGAGCTAGGTTTCTCACTAACAGAACAGAGTTATAGACAGGGGATGAGGGCTAGAATGAACCCTGTGGTATGGAGAACTAGAGCTGGAGTTAGCAGTATGAACTTAAGAGTTTTTAATATACACAGGTACAGAAATACTCTATGTGTATGGGTATTTGAGGTGGGATCTAGAAGCAGCAACACATAGCAGTGAGCACACCTCGCATTCAGTTCTTGGTTTCTAAATAACATCTTCCAAAATAAATAAATAGATAAATAACATCTTCCAATGAAAGGAACCAAGACTTTTTGGAGAAGTGTTTTGGGGGCTGGCACAGGAAAAAGTACA